TCTCCCTCTCTCCCTCCCTCCCTCCTTCCCTTACTCCTTCCCTCCCTTTTTCCCTCCCTCCCTCATGTGTTTTTGTCAGCACAACCGTGGACCCAACTCTTGCCTAATTCCAGCCTTTCTCAATATATCAACCATTGCATCAGCTGTCTCCAGAAAGTAGTGATTCATCCTCCAAGCTTCTCCCTGTGTTCAGATAATTGACCCAAACTCGAATTTTGAGAGCACCCTCTCAAATAGTTGGCTGGGTTCCTTCCAGAGGAGTTGTGCTGTTGTACCCATTTTTCCAACTCTTCAACTCATACCAGAGTTGTCCTCGGTGGAGTCATGGTCCTCCCTTCAGGAGAGGTACTGTAGGTCTCAGATACTCATGAAGTTAGGTGGAAGACTTACAGATGCAGACCACGGGCTTTCATAAGTTTGCCGGACTGGGGCACACCCAATAGAGTCAAGTGGAAAGTTCGATTGATTAGGAGCTAAGAGACCACCACACACTGAGGTCTGAACTAGCTTAAACTAAGAAATTAACAAGAAAAATGAGGGAGACAAAACAGATGAAGACATCTTCTCTTTCATCTTCTCGCCTCTTGTAAAAGATTAGTCCTTGTGTTTTCCCTTGATTTTTTTTTACCTCTTCTTCCCAACTCTTTTTTCAATCCTTAAAATAACAAAAAATATTTAGTATTTATTATTATCAGCACAGAATGGCTTATATGTAAAAAAATGTACATTTTACTATTTAGTTACGTTTTGTTGTGAGACGTCGCCCACATTTGAAAACACTCCCTTTCAGACTTGAGTTTGTGTTAATATTTTCAATCAGGAGCTGGTAATGAAAGTGTTCATTACCATCTGTCACCGGTGTTTACATACAGTGCACGCCAGTGCTTTCACATGCCTTTCTGAAAAGGCACCCTCAATACTGAGATGAAATATAATTTATTTTTAATGTTCTTCTTTAAACTGAAAGATCTATTGTTTTGCTATGAAATGACACAATGACACTGCCAATGATTGCTGGTGTGCATTTTGATTATTTCAGTGATCAGAATTTAATAAAAGATTTCATCATGGATGAATGAACAGGTTTATCTTATTTTTCAAAATGATATAATATGTTAATTTGTCTAGCATCACAAATCAGCCCTACTGAAAATATATTTTCTATACCAACCATTTACCACTGATTGTTTTGTGTACTCCATGTGAGAAGAGTAATGAGAACAAGAGTCATACACAGAGCACACGGATAATCATTGATGGATAAAAGAAAGGGGTGGTTAGACTCCTTTTTGGAAAAGACAGAATGACAAGTTGTTTGTGTACAAAAGCAGAGATAAATATGCCAATGGGCAGCGAAGTCTAAATCCAACTGTGTTTGTAGAAACCGGTAAACCCGACAGCTGAAAGTTTATCTTGTACGTCGTTTTTATAGCGCTGTGTAGTCACTTATTTCATTAACCATCAGATTTGTGTGATCAGTGGCTCTGTTTGGTAGAGCATGTGGAATGCGAGAATTAATCAAAATGTTAATAACAGTGTTCTGACCCAATAGATGAGATATTTCATCTGGTTGAAATGCTGCATGTCCCTTAAACAAGTAACCTGAAGGTCGTTGTGTGAAGAACAAGGCAGACTTTCCTCTGCATCCCAGTAGGAGTTACTCCAGCTTAAGCACAGACATTTCCTTCTATGCCGAGTATTCAGAACAAAACTAAAATAGGACAGTTATTTTAAAAGCATTTTTAAACAGCACCATAGCACAGAGACAATGCTGGTGACCTCATCTAGATTTAGGTTTGTTTTAGTTAATTCATGTTGTAAAACCCAAACCCTTCTGTGTGGTCAAACATTGTTGCTTTTGTTCCGTCTCCATTCATTCCTGTTAACACTCAGTTTCCCACTGTCTGATGCTCCCTCTTTAAAAATATTTTTAAAGATTTAAAAATATTTTAAGATCATAATATAATCATTTCTCCTTTCCTCCCTCCAACCCCTCCCATGCACCAACTGGCCCTCTTCTCTTTCTAATTCATGACTTCTTTGTCTTTAACTGTTGAGGGCAGGCTCTAAGACTCTAAGTGCTTAACCCGCCCTGTCTTTTATGTTTATGGGGTGTGTGTGTGTGTGTGTGTGTGTGTGTGTGTGAGAGAGAGAGAGAGAGAGAGAGAGAGAGAGAGAGAGAGAGGAGAACAGCTTGTTGCAGGAATTTGGGGTCTAGTAATTGAACTCAGATCATCAACCTCAGCAGCAAGCATCGTTACCTACTAAGCCATCTTGCTGGCCTAGTGCATACTGTTTATTTACCCCTTCCTGCCAATACTGTTACCTCCAGTAAGGAAACCTGGTTGAGATGAGAAAGAGTGGTACCATTCAGCGGCTTTCCTTGTATGTCTTCCAGGAGTCCTGTGGAACCTCTCCTCGTGTGATGCACTCAAGATGCCAATCATCCAGGATGCCCTGGCGGTGTTGACCAACGCGGTGATTATCCCCCACTCGGGCTGGGAAAACTCACCTCTTCAGGACGATCGGAAAATACAGCTGCATTCATCACAGGTGCTGCGCAATGCCACTGGGTGCCTAAGGTCAGTCCCTTCCCTGTCCTCCAGGGTCCTGGTGCAGGGACTTCTTTCTGTAACCTTGGTGACTGTTTCCTGGGGACCAGACTGTTCTGCCGAGACAGATGCTGGCATGGCAAACAGAAAGCTAAACAAAATCATTTGAAGAGGAGGTTTCCACAACTCTAGACCCACAGAGTGTTCCGCTGAGTTAGCTTGCTGGCTTACATCTAGAAGAAATCAGAGTTCCATCTCAACCAAAACCAAGTCCCTTTCTTTCACTGTAAACAGTAGTTTATAGTGATTTGACATGACATTTTACATGTAAAACAACCAGGAAATTGTTTAGAGAGAATCTGTGACAAATGTATAGGGGTGTAATTAAATACCACCAGGAACTACTTTTATTCCAATTTTTCCCCCTTAATTCTGTGTATGCTTTTACAAGAGTCCTTAATTGCTTAGAAATAGCTTCTTAACAAGGCCCGTTTTACTTAATGTTTCTCAAATAATAAAAAATTATAAGCATTTGTAATCTTTTCTACTGTATTTAAACAAATGACCACACAGAAATCTCTGTCATCTTCTTAGCATCAGCTGTGAGCCTCGACTTACTTTTAGGAGAGGAGGTAGGCACCAAACAAGATAGACGTCCTTCTAAAGTCAGCCTGTGCTCCTAGGGAAGGTTTATGGTAAAGTTGGAAATTCCTACCAGATGGGGTTAATTATGGGCTAGGAGCCAAAGGGCTTGGTGAACATGCCTAAACAAATAATCTGCATTTCAAAGCTAAAATGTTGAGAATGGCTTCAGCTGGGCTGCCACACAACAGTTGGTCTGGTTCTAGCTGCGTCTGCTAGGACAGAACAAGAGTACGGCAGTGAGGATTAATACTAACCATCTTCTGACTTCCTGTGAATGCTGTAACAAAAAGCCCTGAGTCTATTATTCATAGTCCTTATATACCCCAATCAAAAGGGGAGGGCGCCTGACTCCCATGATACAAAGAACAAGCATGCATAATTACCTCCTTATATCTCAAAACACCCAGTAACCACGCCTTAAGTCAAACATCCTGTTGTCTGGATTTTGAGGAGCAAAGCATCTAGTAGCCACACCTTTGGCTGGGCGTTCTGTTGTTCATCCTTGAGGACCAAGAACAGGTCACGATGGAAGGGATTCAAAACTGGGGGCCCCCGCCACCCCTCCACCCTGACCCACAGAAGCTGCATTCACAGAGTACTCCACAGAGAAGAGCCCCTGGCCTCCGCCGTCCTGAAGAGGAATGAATTGTCTCCTGTGGGCGCAGCAAAAGTTAAGCACAGATGATTTGTAAAATGAAGACGCAGAGCCCTCAGTCCTTTCCATTTAAAAGTCATTTTGGGTAGGAAATGGAATTTTTCTCGGGCAGATCCATCTATTTGCTCCTGAAATGCTTATTTATCACTGATAAAAATAAGATAGAAATGGGGGCAGGGAGACCTTTTAAATTTTGTGGAAGGAATGAGTTGATAAGACATGCCAGTCGCTGGATGGTGGGATGGGATGGAGGGCCCTAGAGCCATGAGTCATCACGATGCAGGGCAGGGTAGAACTGAACTCTCCTCACTGCCTCCACCCTGTCTACCTTCCTCGTCCCCTATACAGCCACCCCCATCCACGCTCATTTCTTCCTATTCTGTAATGCCATCTTCTGTTCCAATTCTGCTATGTCCAAACTTTACTTTTAATCAGAAACCATATTTAAAATATTCTCTAAAACAAATGTGACAAGTATTCTCTTAGTCTTTCTCTTCCTCCTTTCATGATTCAGACCTCCTCTGGAGGAATGACTTCATGACCTCCTCTGGAGGAATGACGTCATGACCTCCTCTGGAGGAATGACTTCATGCAGACCAGGTCAGACCTAGGAATAGATTCGGGTTTGCGCTGACGATTGTTTTGCTGAGCACAGTGTAATCACAGTGTCTCGTAACCTTTGGCCATTGTAATGATCACCTTCATCTGGAAACATGTATTAACAGACTGCATGAGGCCAGATCCAATCAGTCTGTGAGCAAGTCCTTGCTGGCTGAGGTCACTGTGGTGGCAGAAATAAACATTCCTCCAAAATCTTGGTCCATCTCTAACTGTGGAAAGCGACCTTTCTTGGAAATAGTGTCTTTGGAGAACTCAAGAGTTGGATTAGGGTGGATGTACGTGTAATAGCACCCTTTTAAGGAGAGATGTATGGAGGGAAAGGCTTTGGAAACAGACAGGAACACTGGGGATGCCTAAAAGCGACCATAGGAAAGGCTCCCTAGAGCCTTCATGTGAGCATGGCCATGCTGGCATCTGGATTTTGGATTTCTAACACTAGGAGGATGCATTTCTGTTGTTTTAAACCATGAGTTTTTTTGAGATTCTACTCTGGCAGACCCAGAAAAGAAATGCATATTCCATAGTTGGAAACAGAGGGGCCTGCAGAGCCAGGGGGCACCCGAGGACACAGGATAGGGAAGAAAATACGTAAACCATTGTTCCCAAATGATCCTCACAAACTGGGACAGAATGACCAAAGGGGGACGTGATTTTGTCTGTGTGTAAAACCAATTGCCTCTATAGGTAAGGAATAGAGGCATTACCTATGCAGGGGTGAGGTCTGCATGTCTGGATGTGATTGCCTCAGACTAAGAAGGTTTGCCTCCAACCCCCTTACCAGACATGCATGAAGGAAGAGACTTCCTAGCTGAGTGTGTGATTTCTGTGTGCCCTGCTGTTGCCGAGGAGACTTTCTTCACTGCCTCTCCTGATGCTCTCAGGGCAGAACTTGGATTTGCAGAAGGCTCTGTGCAGCCAGAAGTCCTTCCAGGTTCCTATACAGGCAACCTCCTAGGTTCCCACAGTGCACTCTAGCAGCAGTGGGCAGAATGAATGCTTCCTGAACCTTCTGAGAAAGATGGCTGTGTTTCCCATTTAACACGTGTAAATCAATACTATAAAGATCCTTGGCATGGCCATAATCATCAGTTCGGAATGAGCTGTAGGTGAAGGCTTGATAAGCGGCCCTTTTTCCCTCCCTTTTAATCCAGCCACTAACTCAGTAAGACAACTCGGGGCACTTAGGACTTCATCGGCAGGGGGAATGTGTGCAGAAGGCTGGCTTTGTCAGCTTCCGCAGCTCCTTTGCCCATGCCACCAAGCCATTTCTTTATTTTTATTATTCTCTTCCCACTTCGGCATCTTGTCCTGAAGGACAACAATATACAACCCTAATTTTTCTCATCTATCTTGTGTACACGGAATGTTATTAAGCCTGTCGCTGTGCCTGTGCTTATGAGTATAATTAAACTCAGGTCCTCAATTAGTCATTTTAACCCATCTAATGGATGAGCGCTTGGTCCCACAGTGCCACTAATTCTAGAGTGACCTTGAGAAAACTCATCACAAAGTAATGCTTATGATAATCACACCATGGCTGGAAGGCTCCGAGGACATTATTTTATTTGGTTTACTCTTGCATTAGCCACAGGTAAGAAGAGGAAAAATGACTGTTTTTATGTTAAGATCATGCCAATATTATCCACCTATTCAGATGAATGTTCTTTTTAATATTTTATTTAATATCCATATATGCATATAATGTGCTTGGATCAAATCCAGCCCCCATTTTTTCCCTCTCCTCTCTCTTTTGTCTCCCTCACCCCTTTGACCTCCCAACTCCATATACTTTCTTTTTTTCATATACTCTCTTTTAAAGCTACATCAGTTTAGTGCTGTCTGTATTCATACAGATTGGGACCATCTACTTGAGTATGGAGAGCCTCTCAAGGCCCACCTCCCTCAAGCATGCTGCACTCATCTGTGGATGTGAAGACAAGAACTCACAGTGTAGTTTATTCTGTGTCCACTTAACAAAATAATAATACAATGTTCTCCCCTAGTCCTGTGACCTAGTTTATTGGGCCTAGTCAATGGTTCCCATGGATCCATCTTATAAAGTGATCTTGAAATCCAATCAGAAAGTTATTATTGGCGGCTCCCATAGCCATAATCAGCTTCTCCTATAACAGTTGTGCCACAGTTGCACCAGTGATTAATGTGTGAGCAGGCTGGCTTTTACTATAACGCAGGGTTCACAGCTAGCTACTGCTGTTGAACTACCTAGCTCCCCTAGTGGCCCTCAAAGAGCCTTCCAGTACTACAAGAGATGGCCAGCAGGTCTGAACCTTCAGAGTTTGCAATTGTTGGATGTTGAACTCTGGGGTGGTTTTCCCATCTGGACAAGGATATGAGCGTGTGCCAACTACATAAAGCACACTTTACCTGGTGCTTGGAGTGGAAGGGGGCTTTTTCTCTGAGTTTAGAGGTGCTGCATGTAGCTTGTCCTAACCCCCTTCTTTTTCATACCTAGACCTCAAGCAGCAGCATCTCCTTACTGTTGAGAGGGTCTAGTGTAGATATGACAGAGCTTCCCTGAGACATGCCTCGGCTCTAGAGAGTCTGGGAGCTCAGTAGACTAAGCAGTTGCTGCCTTATCTAGCAGCGCATTGGAAACAGGGCTGTGTGCCCCGTCACTAGTAGCCCAGTTCCCTTAGCACAGTCAACAGAAGGTAGAAAATATTTATACTTGCTCAGCTGCTGGATCAAAGTATCATGGACTGTGTGACCCGAGTCCCGGGATCTGTGTCCTCACAGCTGTGCACCTGGAAATCAGATATCCAAGTGCCCAGTGGATGTGTTCCTCGAAGGACTCTCTCCTGGACTGGCAGACTTCTGCCAGCCACTGGATCTTCCTGTGGTCTTCTCTCAGGGATCTGGACCCAAGTGTTCTTTTCTTTTAAGGACACCATTCAGACGTGGCTAAGACCAAAATCTTAATGCTAAGCATATTGCCTCATTTTAAAGTCCCTGCCTTTAAATACTGTTGCATCCTGCAGAGGAGAGAGCTCTAAGTGAAGACTTCGCTTTGAATTTCAGAGTGATACACCTCAGGCTATGGTAATGCTATGACAGCTGGATTTCTCTGTTTGGTCCCATTTTAGAAAAT